ACACCTGCAGACAGACCCACCAACAGACAATACAGGGTCTACAGTTTATGTAACATGCAGGTCTTCTGACTGTTGGATGAAGTCAGAGCACCTGGAGGGAACCCACACAGGACAGCATGTAAACTCCACTTTTGTAAAGTAATTTAGTACATTTACTCAAGGACTGCACTTAAGTATAATTTTGAGGTACGTTACTGTATGTACTGTAAGTATTTATGTTTTCTGCCCCTTCTACTCCAACCAGTAAGGAAAGAAAACAGTAGGGCTCACGCCCACTGCACAGTGCCAGAAACCGGTTGTGATAACAAAAGGGTGTTTAAATCTGTCATCAATTGGTAGATATACAGGAAAATTGGGACCCAGAAAAGAAACGGGACAGGCCAATGGGTAGCAGGGATTCTCCCAGGAAAATCGTGAGGGTTAGCAAGTGTGGCGAGATAAGTGTCCATAGGCCTGCTGCCATTTACAGGATGCTTTATATTGTACACTATGTATTGTGTCAGTGTGAATGCAATACAGATTAAAAACATAGCAAATATATAACATGCAGCTGGGATGAACTTACTTTTGAGTTTATCTTGGATAACTCTCCCATCAAATTAATCTTAATGTGCTGGAGGGGTTCGTGTGCCCCAGGGACCCTGGGTGCTGTGCTGTCGGGGGCGATAGCTCCTGGTAGGGTCCCTCACAGTAGCATGGTCCCTGAGAAGGGGCCGGACTAAGAGCAATTCACTTGTCACATCACGCCCGGAAATAGGAAACCAGGGCCCCTTTGTGGAGCTAGACCTCGGAGGGACCTGGGAACGTCTGGCTGAGGCCCCTGTCCACGACGTCTTCAACTCCCCCTTTTGGAAGAATTTTTGGTGCAAAGCGTCTATTGTGGAAGCGACTGCTAGGAGTTATGGTCAAAAGGTCATCAGTGCCTGTCGTGGCGGCAACCTAAGAACCCGCTGGTGAACAACAGCATTGAAGGAGGCCGTGAAGCTGAAGAAAGATGCCTTTTGGGCGTGGCTGGACCAGGGAGGACTTCCATACCATCAGACCTCTTTTTGCCACCGGAAGAGTCGCCCCCTGCTGGTCAGTAGAGACAGTGCAAGTTTTAAGTTTTAAGAGTTTTTGTAGTGCAGGGGCGTCAAACTCATCTTCACTCTGGGCCACATCAGCATCACGGTCGCCCTCAAAGGGCCGGTTGTAAATGTAAGAAGGTGTAAATGTAACTACTCCTAACATATTTTTAATAACTGTCTCTGCATTTGATTATTGTTTATATAAATGTAAAAAATATATTTCAGCACATTTCTGTTATTATAACTTAAATCCTTTTAATTTAGGGTTAAGAAACCCACATTACTCTATCAAAGATCAAACTATTTAAGAAAATATTAAAGACAAATAAACACAAGTAATTACAATAACTTTGTTCAAAGCTTAAAATCATTTCAAGGGTGCATTTGTACAATCCCACGTGAAGTGTTTCATGTGTTGTAAAGCCATGTTTAAAGTAGTCTTCAATGTACTCACAATACATTTATATGTCAAATGTGCAGTAACCAGCCAAAGAGCTGCTTCTATGACTTTGTGTTTATATCATAATCATGACTTTCTATCTCATAATTATGACTTCGGGGATATTTTTATTATCAAGTCTAACTTTTAATTATTTCTTTTAAGGGACTTCTGGGATACCCTCTTAAGCTTGCTGTCACCACAGCCCGGCCCTGGATAAGCAGGTGGGTGGGAGGACGACTCTTATTGTAACGATGATATTGTAGCACCTTTAACATGTAAAACTGTGACCGTGCTTCTGTATCTGACAAGTTGGGAGTTGGGAAACGGCTTCAGTGCAATGCTCAGCCAACACAACCAGGTCAAAGTTAGTGCGTGTTGTTACGCTCATTTTAAAGCAATGTGACACAATCATGAAAACCAGAGCACAGCCACGATCACAAAGAACTCAGTTTTCTGTAAAAGCTGGACAGAACTAGTTGTTATCTATGTAGCTGCTTCAGCTGAGAGACCACAGTGTGAGTAACACCGTAGTCACACACCATGGTCACACACCGTAGTCACACACACCGTGGTCTGACACACCGTGGTCACACACCGTGGTCACACACCGTGGTCACACACACCGTGGTCACACACACCGTAGTCACACACACCGTGGTCTGACACACCGTGGTCACACACCGTGGTCACACCGTGGTCTCACACACCGTGGTCACACACACCGTGGTCTCACACCGTGGTCACACACCGTGGTCACACACACCGTGGTCTCACACACCGTGGTCACACACACCGTGGTCACACACACCGTGGTCTCACACACCGTGGTCACACCGTGGTCACACACACCGTGGTCACACACCGTGGTCACACACACCGTGGTCTCACACCGTGGTCACACACACCGTGGTCACACACACCGTGGTCTGACACACCGTGGTCTCACACACCGTGGTCACACCGTGGTCTCACACACCGTGGTCTCACACACCGTGGTCTCACACCGTGGTCACACACTGTGGTCACACACCGTGGTCACACACCGTGGTCACACACCGTGGCGGTCTACAGAACACTGTAACATGATACAGTTGAGCCGTCCTCTGTGGATCAAAGGGAATGCAAGAACATATTATAAGGTATCGCAATGACCTGTCAGGGCTACCGTACAAGCCTTAACATGTGGTGACATAATAAATCACAAAACACATTAACAAGAATGTTTTTAATGTGTGTGTCATAGACAAAGACAATAAGAAGACTGTGGACTGAATGAGGCATGTATGGAACGATGTGATCTCAGTGCAGAGACTTATTCATTGTACAGTTCTTTAGCTCCATCTGCTGCAGTTGTGTTGCTATTGCAGTGTAGACAGTAGTGTGTCTGCATACGTGTATAACTGGGACGGTGTTCGGTTGTTGGGCAGCAGTGCTTCTGGCCCATTTAACCTACTGGGGCCAAACTGGGACCATCTGTTCTTTTCAAGGGGTCAAAACTAAGCTGACCTGAGCTAAACCTCAGCGTAACAGAAGCACCAGAGTCAGCCACCAGACTACTGGTCATACAGAGCAACACAACACCACTCAACTCAGCAATGGGGCGTCGCATTGGTGTGAATTCAGCTTTTAATATGAAAGAGGATGATTGTGTTATTACTTCTTTCAAAAGTTACATAATCTCACTTTAAGGGCTGAAAAACAAAATCTACTTCAATCCATCAATTGATCCATTGATTCAACTCATATTGTTTAATCGTGAAATGAATGAATCGAAGGTTTTACTCTTTAACAATACTTAACTTCACTGTGATTGAGTAAGTGAGGTGAGGTTTTACATCTGAAGGGATTGCTGAAGCTTAAAGTGACCCGTGTGAACGCCTGCTGATGATCCATTAAGAGCCTTCATTATTATTATATATTGTATTATTATTGTATAATATGTGATGCAGGTGAAGATCACGTGACCAGTTCCTCAGCCATCACATCACAACAGCAGAAAGATGATCAGAACAAATAGCTGAAGCTAGCGAGCTCAGGTGAACGTGTGACAGAGTCGTTGCTTTGAGGCTGTTTCACATTCTTTAGCTGAATTAAATAAAAACTCATATTTAGTGGAAAGAATTATCAAATATATCTGCTTCTCATTATAGCCCCCAGGTGCACCTCTTCTCTCCAACTAAAATGATAATAATAATGATAATGAAAATATGATTAAGTCTTCAGTCAGTAGTTTAGACTTTATGAAAAATAACAAGTTACATTTTAACTTAAAGAAATCTCACCACAAACGTCAACAAACAAAGTTGTTTTAATAAAGAACGTTTTAATGTATTTTATGTCTTCTGACAAGTTCAACACCACACAAATACAATAAGTAGTTACAGTGTGTTTACACTACAAACGCTGCAGAAAATGATCGTTGAGAAATATTCTTTACTTCTGAAACAGCATGAAAAGTTTAATTCTATTGAACCTTTTCACTACAGTCAAACAGTTGATGTTATTATCCCTTACATTTGGATATTGACTAATTGTGACCAAGTTATGTAACATTTTTAAAACTCTTTTTAAACAGACAACACATCATAACATGTTAACCTGCAGTAAGAAGATCTGCGCCCAATCTTCCCACAAGGCAACACGAAGGTTTCATCTCGTTTGATTTATTGAATAAATGAAATACTTGAAAGCGGGTTGATGGGTCTGAACACCTGATCATACTTGGTACGGTAACTTCCTGCAGTGAGTAACTCTGTGATGATGAGATTACAGATACAGCACGGTGCTAATGTGAGAGATAAACTCTGAATCATCATTAAACTGTGACAACAACCTCTGACAGATGATCCTGTGAACTCTTTAAATTACAGTGTTCTATCATCTCATTAGAAGAAAGGATTTGTTTTAGTACAGCGGTCCTCAGGTATCCAGCTAATTGAGTCGACACATCCAGCTGTACCGGGAGGACCAGCTGTCAGCCGGCTCTGACCCAGATATCAGATATGAGCACGTTTAGGAGCTTTTGAGCTGAAAACCAGCTTCTGTTAGCAAAACTCATTGGCATCCTCCCTTCCTTACCTCCTCCCCTCCTTCCTTCATTCCTCTATCCTACAAAATACCTCCCATCCTTCCTTACAATATCTCCAACTCACTGAATGTTCTCTTAAATCTTTAACCTGACACATTCACTTTCATTCATTGGTTGTATGACTTACAAAGTTGATTCAAAATTGGAAAATATTCAAAAGTAATTTGGCTAATTTAATCTCCAAACTTTGGTTTGAAGAGTTGGGAATCAATTCATATTTTGCCTTATTTATATTGTAGTTTCATAATGTTGAGAATGTAACACGGCAGTCAGCCTAACATGTAGTATTAGGTGATACGAGGTTGATGATGGTGATACAAGGTTGATGATGGTGATACGAGGTTGATGATGGTGATACGAGGTTGATGACGGTGATA